GTGAGAGAGAGAGAGAGAGAGAGAGAGAGAGAGAGAGAGAGAGAGATTTTTAACCATGGTGCAATCTAGAAATGTAATAGATTTTTACTACTATAAATGTATTGATGATCTGCATTCTTTTGAAAATACTTGGTGCTGTAATGATGCTCTATGTAACATTTTTGAAGACTAATTAATTGTTACACTTTATTGATTTGTATTTAGTTGAAACTTGATACTTGTTACTTGAGTCTGTGTATATTAATGTATATTTATTTTTGTAAATAAAAGCTTTTGCACTGCAAAAAAAAAAAGATTTTCTTACTTAGATTTTTTTGTCTTGTTTCCAGCCAAAATATCTAAAAAGTCTTAAATCAAGAAGGATTTTCTAGACGAGTAAAAAACAAAGTCAAAATTAAATGACTATGATACTCTTGTTTTCTATTTGAAACCCCACTGGCAGATTATTTTACTTAAATTATTTTATTAAAAAAAAGACAATAATTTTTACTTGTCTAGAAAATCCTTCTTGATTTAAGAATTTTTAGATATTTTGGCTGGAAACAAGACATTAAAGCTAAGTAAGAAAAGCATTTTTTTGCAGTGTGTAAATTAAAAAAATCTCTCTCTCTCTCTCTTTCTGTCTCAATTCAATTCAAATGAGCTTTATTGGTATGACTGTGTAATATTTCACAATGTTTCCAAAGCAATAAAAATATTATACAAACATACTGTTGAATAAAAAAGTGGGAAAATAAAATAAACACACATACATTTCCATCTCATCACAATGAAGAAGAAAAAAAGGACAAAGTAAATGAATACAGAGAGCAATTGTAAATGGAAAAGAGGGATCAGCGTTTGTCCCTCATTTGATGGCAGGAGGACACATACTGCGCTGCCAGGTGGTTACACTTTTCTTTCTCTCCCAAAATATACAAGAGTTTCTCTATTATCCCTCTCTCTCTCTCTCTCTGCTGCTCCCTGTAGAGAGCATCCCATCATCTCCAACGAATCTCAGTCGGACGCTTGACTTGTGCTCCTCGCGTCGCCGTCTCATCCCTGACTCCACACGGGGCCAAAAACACAGTCAAACACAGGTTTACAACCGCAGCCACAAACTGACACAGAATACAGGTTAGGCAGAGCGACACACACAAACACTCTCTCACACACACACACACACACACACACACGCATGCACACGCACGCACGCACTCACACACACTCACACACACACACGCATGCACTCACTCACACACACTCACACACACACACTCACACACACACACACACACACACCCACACACACACACACACTCAAACACTCTCACACACACACACACACACACACACACACACACTCTCTCACACACACACACACACACACACGCTCTCTCTATGCAGTGGGTGCCAGAGTGTTCTGGATTCACTTGGGAAGAAACCAATAGTCCTGCTCGCTCTGTGGACGTTAGTCAGGTCAGACACTACATGTTCTTTGATATTAATGAACGTGAACGCTATTTTTCAATGCGGAATTAAGCTATTTTTTTGTAAATGTGTGAGAATTGATTCAGTAGCTGCTACTGGTAAATAATTAAGAGTAAGAGTAATTGCAGTAAACGGTAAAACTATTTGCACTTCAAACCAGTGTGTTTATAATTATATAAATAAAATATATTGTAAATGTATTATACAATATAAAATTACATATAATACACACACACACACACACAAAGTCAGGTCCATATATTTGGACACAGGCACAATTTTTTTATTATTTGTGCTGTTATTATTTTAGCTGTTGACCAAAACATATTCAAGTTACAGTTGTATAATGAATATGGGCTTAAAGTGCAGTAAACGGTAAAACTTTGCACTAAAAACTGTGTATGATTAATAACAAAATAATAGAAATAAAAATATATAAAAACAATAAAAATAATAATAATAATAAAATACTGGAAATAAAATATGAATGTGTGAGACTTCTGATTTATTAGTCATTATAAGTAAATAGTACATTTGTAAAGTAAAGCATTAAATTTGCATCACAAACCTATATAAAGCACTATATAAAGATTATATAAATTAATGTTATAAAATGTATAAAAATAATTTATGAAATTATGTTATTAATTCCAAGTAATTAAGTACACTCACACACACACACACATACTCACTCACACACTCACTCACTCACTCACTCACTCACTCACTCTCTCACACACACACTCACTCACTCACTCACTCACTCACTCACTCTCTCACACACACACTCACTCACTCACTCACTCACTCACTCACTCTCTCACACACACACTCACTCACTCACTCACTCACTCACTCACTCTCTCACACACACACTCACTCACTCACTCACTCACTCACTCACTCTCTCACACACACACTCACTCACTCACTCACTCACTCACTCACTCTCTCACACACACACTCACTCACTCACTCACTCACTCACTCACTCTCTCACACACACACTCACTCACTCACTCACTCACTCACTCACTCTCTCACACACACACTCACTCACTCACTCACTCACTCACTCACTCTCTCACACACACACTCACTCACTCACTCACTCACTCACTCACTCTCTCACACACACACTCACTCACTCACTCACTCACTCACTCACTCTCTCACACACACACTCACTCACTCACTCACTCACTCACTCACTCTCTCACACACACACTCACTCACTCACTCACTCACTCACTCACTCTCTCACACACACACTCACTCACTCACTCACTCACTCACTCACTCTCTCACACACACACTCACTCACTCACTCACTCACTCACTCAC